TTTTTTTTTACAGCACCAACTGTTTCTATTTCCTGTTGTTGTTTTCAATTAGGCTATGAAGTCTTTAAATGTCCCTCACCATTTAAACCTGTCTGATCTGTTCCCCATGATGTTTTTAATCATCTTTAATGAGTGTGTGCAGTAAATGTTTAGGACCTGCTACATGTTTGATTGCTGCCAATATGGATGTGATTGTGGCCTCTGGGATTCCCCCAAATAAAAACCACACCAGCATTATTATCTCTCTGAGGTTTCACCTCCTGGATTTTCCCCTTGCTTTAACCAACAGGGCACTGCTTGCCATCTGACTAAAAGGCTTTAAAGTGTTGCGTTTCAACAGGGGAGGGAAAAACAGGCCCTTTCTTGTCAGCAGTGAGAATACGCCGAAGGTTAAATGCTTGAATTCCAATAGCACACGATCAAGAAAACACCATTATTCAAGGGATGTGAGCCTAATTGTTGTGATTATTTTTTATTATTATTATTTTATGTAAAGCATTTTGAATTACCACTGTGTATGAAATGTGCTATATAAATAAACTTGCCTAGTCTTCACTTGTAAACTGATGGGAATGTTCCAGCATTTATTGCTGAATTACAGTGGGAGGAGCTTCAATGATGATGCGATTCTTGTGGGAGGAGCTTCACTGATGATGCTATTACTGTGGGAAGAGCTTCATTGAAGGTGAATTGCGCATGTGAGGAGCTATCTGCCAAAATAAAAAATATAACTTACTGCAGATCGTTTTCACAGCACAATATGAATTGAAGTTTTTTTTTTTTTTTTCAAATAATGGATGGTTTTAGTTTTAGTTAACTAATAATCCTGATGCAAACCCCATCCAATTTGGCTTTACAAATTAATTCAAAATAGGGTCCAGTTTTCCTGAATTCGCCCATATTTGCAGTGCACTGGATTGACTAAAACAGTTTAATCATGTTCTCCTATTTGCACATAGCAAAACAATCGCTAAGTTGAAATCAGGATATGGCAACCTTCATAAACAAGCAGTTTTGGCACCACCCGATGGCCTTTCAGAGAAAGTTCATCCATCCCTTTCACAGGCACAGAGGGCAGAAGAAAATAAATGCTGGATAAAGACAGAAAACCTACTTGATCATATATTACACAACTGCAAGCTTAAGTGTAAACTCAAATCACAATGTTGCTTCCACTTCCAACATAATAATAAATGAAATGCTCAGTAAACTTGGCTAAATAAGGAAAGACTTAAACCCCTATATTGCCATTAATTGACAGATTATCTTGAAAAGTAGGGTGAAAGGAAAAAAGCAGTGATTAATAACATCATTAGTAGTTTACTTTAGAGATTGTTCCAGATCTTCAGGGAGCAGTCTAGTATTATTTCACAAAGCATATTAGAAATACACTGGCTGACCGGCACGGCAATATGCAAATAAAGCAAATGAAAAGAATGGCTTGCCTGTAGATTTTGGTCTTCATTGCAAACAGATTTGTGCCTAATGAGGAGCAGATTATGGCATGATTCTTGTGTAAATTAAACAGCAGGCGTTAAGGGCTGCGTAGGCACAAACTAATGTATTTTGTATGTTTTACTAGATGTTTTTTCATGTGTATCAGCAGTACTGCACTTAAATAGTTCACACACAAAAACAAAATAAATAAAAATAAATAAATGAAAAATTGCTGAAAATTTACTCAATCCTCAGGCCATCCAAGATGTAGATCAGATTGTTTCTTCAGATTTGGAGAAATTTTGCATTATATGACTTGCTCATTACTGGATCCTCTGCAGTGAGTGGGTGCCGTTAGAATGAGAGTTCAAAAAGCTGATAAAATCATCACAATCATCCACACGACTCCAGTCCATCAGTCAACGTCTTGTGAAGTAAAAAGCTGTGTGTTTGTAATAAACAAAACCATCATTAAGGCATTTTAACTTTAAACTGATGCTTCTGGCCAAAATATCCACGAGTCCATAATCCACAAAATCCACCAACATATTTGTTCAGAACTGTTTTGGACTGTTTTCACTTGTAAACGGTGCTTGATCGGAGCATATTTCTTTCCTGATTCAGACAAGATGACTTTTTTTTACTGGAGAAAGGGACATTAGAAATTATATATAATAGATAAAGGACTCATTTTTAGCAACAAAAAAAAAACTCTAAAAGATTATTTCGTTCATTACAAACATGCAACTTTTCTCAGAAACAATCTATTGTTACACAAGAACTTGATGGATAATTCACAGTGGTTTCTATAAATGCGGTTCCAATTAGTGATAATTGCCCCTTAATAGGATACAGCTGAAGGCATGGTTTTGATTTGTTTCCTTCACTTCAAAACAAAGACGTTATTAATACATATTTGGTGTGAATTTCCCATGGGCAATTTTGAGTATTGTTGTACATGACAGGAGATGAATAGATCAGGTGTAACTGAAATGCTTTTCACATTAACAAATGAACTCCAGTTCTGGATAAATAACCAAAAATCTCATGCCCCTTACTTCTCTTTTTTTTTTTTTTTTTTAAACCATACACACTACCCACCCGGTTTTATAAAGAGAAATTACACATCATAATAACCTAATGTATTGAAGCATAACACACTTCCAAAACTTCCGCTCTTGTATACTCTCGTAATACTCATATTTTTAAGCAAACTTTCATTACTATTATTACAATAATGCGTGAACAATATTAAAATAAATGAATGAGTCCCTTTTATAATGTGTAATTGTTTGCAACATCATAGCCAGCACACAACAGGCATTATTTAACATTTTAAACATGAGACCTTGTATCCACCTCTCGGACTCTGTTGCCACCTTGTGGACAAAAGCTACATAACAGGTACATACAGGGTGTCCCACTCCTCACCAAGGCTGCATGCATTTGATCAAAATGCAGCAAAACAGTAATATTGTGAAATATTATTACAGTTTTAAAATGATCATTTTCTATTTGAATATGTTTTAAAAATGTAATTTATTCTTGTGCTGGCAAAGCTGTATTTTCAGCAGCCATTACTCTAGTCTTCAGTGTCACATAATCTTTCTAATATGCTGGTTTGGTGGTCAAACAAGATTTATTATCAGTTTTTTAATCAATTATTATTTATTATCAATGTTGAAAAGAGTTGTGCTGTGTAATATTTTTGTGGAAACAGTTTAAAATTTTATGAAGAATGGAAAGAGCAAAAGAACATTACTGTCACGTTTGACCAATTTAATGATTCCCTGCTGAATAAAAGTTTCTTTAAAAATAGTTTGAATTAAAACACTGTAATTTTAAAAACTCTTTTATTTAAAATTTGTTTTGAACAAGACTTCAAAAAAATCAAATGCAATTGTATTTTACAAACAATGCTTTTTGTTGATTGATTCCACTACAATTTACTATTTAATTCATTCCAGTTACATTTGAGAGTCAGCCTTTATGGTTTATTTTTAGTGTTAAAAGTCTTGAGCATCACATAAGATCAGCTGACCAGATGTTGAAACTACTCACACTGACACTGCATTCCTGCTAATCAGTAACTAGTTACAAAGACAGGTTACAATGCATCACATCTAGATACAGAAATGTCTGTTCATAAAGAACATTTATTCTGTTCAGTAAATTATATGAACAGAAAACATGTCAGACACAAATGTCTTACATATAAAAACATAATTATGCATCTAAAAAATGAAAGGAAACAAAAAGCTAGTGGATACAAGGAAAAATGTTCATCATTGACACTCTGGTCCCTAACAGTGATAACCTACGTATCTCAGAGCTGAAAATATGCCTCGAAATGACAAAACATGGCTTTAAAATAGCAGTTCTTCCCTTTTCATGAATTCCCTTATGAAACGGTTAAGATGGATTCATTAATATAATCTAAAATGCTGCATCCATCATAACATGTGCATCTTGCATGAACTTCATGATAACGTCAATAGTTTTGCAGAGTCCTTAAATATTTTCAGAGTCCTTATTTTTATGGATTTGATTGAAAAAACTGAACTAAATTTATAATCATAAATAAAAACAAACAGCAAATGATAAACATAAAAAACTAATCATGTCTAAAAATTCACATCTTTGGGTCTCAGTGAAAATCATGTGTCAAGATGTGGCCGCCCTATAGCAAATACTGGCCTGTGTGAAAGATAATTCTGAACCAAAACCTGATTTGAATTCTAACCTTCACCACTGTGATGTAAGTGTCAACCAAAAGCTCTCTGCATCAGAACGGATGAATCTCTGCGGCTGCTGCGTGTTCAGTCGACTGACGGCTGCTCAGAGCTCTCGGAGTCCTCTCTATCACTCCCCATAAGGCCAGTCACCTCAGGCAGATCTGCAAGACAATACAAACATTAGATATTACATGTACAAATTCATGTACAGTATACAATCGTTCAAAGGTTTGGGGTCAGTACGAAATTTTTTTTTCTTTCTTTTTTTCTTATTCAGCAAGGGCACATTAAATTGATAGTAAAGATATTTATATTGTTACAAAAGATTTCTATATTTTTTTTTTAAATGCTGCTGTTTTGAGTTTTCTATTCATCGATGAATATTGAAAAAAATACAATTACAATGTACAACTACTAAGTAGTACAATTGTTTACAGCACTGATGATAATAATAAGAAACATTTCTTGAGCAGCAAATCAGCGTATTAGAATGATTTCTGAAGGATCACGTGACACTGAAGACTGAAGTAATGACTGCTGAAAATTCAGCTTTGTCATCACAGGAATAAATTACATTTTAACATATTAAAATAGAAAACAGTCATTTTTAAACCGTAATATTTCACAATAAATATGACTGATCCTAAACTTTTGAATGGTAGTTTAACATTTAGTTTAAACCTATGGAATCAACCTTTTATTATCTGAAAAAAATAAAATAAACCACTTTTAAAGGGGTCATATTTTTTTATTATGAACAATTCACACAATATGACAATGTCATAATTCAGTTTATCATGACCATTTTCCACCTTCTTCACCTTCAAAAGCACAAGGTTTGGCAAACTTCCCCACATTTTATCATTAGTTCTTCTGGGGTTTTTAACAGATGTGCTTAGAATAACTGCATCAAAGTATTTAGAATAAAATGTTTAGAATAAATCCGGTTTATATGAATTCACCATAATGCAGCCTGAATTTTTTTACAATCCATCATCTCAAAACATTAAGGAAAATTTGCCTCATGATTTTGACCCCTTTAAATTAAAGGTGGATGATTGAGGTTTCTGATTGGTTTTATGTGGAGAAAATCATTTAGTTCAGATTTCTGATTGTAATTTCAGATGCTGACATGTGGCCCTCGCCCTTAAAGTCTTTGCTGTTTATTGAATCATTCATATGATCTTGCTTAGATACTGTAATACAAAACATCATGTCAGCCATGAGGTGAAGCGGTTATCGAGTAAAGCCTCGTACACACCGGGACGATTATCGCGCGGGCTTATCGCAGACATTTTTCGCCGCATCTTTTGTGTTCATACCCAAGCGATTTTCGCTGGCGATGAGCCGAGTGAACGTGCAAATTCACTCCCTGACATTAGATGACGCTTAATAAAAACCAGAAATACCATGGTACACATCGAATCCTATTTGATCTGCAATTCCTCTCCATAACAACTCCCTCTTATCGAGATTTTTGTAGTCGCTGTCGCGTTTGTCATAAAGCCCTTTGTGTTCAGACACCAATGAGACCAGCAGTTCTACATTCATCTTGCCTTGATGCATCTTCTTGGTCTACTTACTTCCTCTTCGTCGTTAGGTATCAATGTGTGCTCGGCAAGACCATTTTGTGCTTGAGCACCACCAAGTCATGTTTTACTGTAACTTCAGCAGCTCCAGGCACGTGAACAAAAGCGCCAATCTTGCGCGCGATATTCGTCCCGGTGTGAACAAGCCTTAACACTATTAAAAAGAGTAAGTCAAAGAGGAAGAACATGTTTCAAAGTGAGAAAGAGAGGAATTATAGTTTTGTTGAGTTTCTTACAGCGCACAATCTTTATCGGCCAGATAAGAATCGTGCAGAGGCTCAGTGCTGCTAAAACGGCCACTCCACCAGTGACGATGACCATGATATAGTGGTAATACCACACGCAACCTGGACAGCATACCATTGTGCTATATGAGAGAAATCACACGTAAATATAAATACTAAAAATAATTTTATTAATATTTAATGTTCAAAATATATTTTTAATCGATTTATTTTACTCTAAACATAAAATGAAACCATTAAAACAGTCTTTCTCACTCACATGTGCACACTTACCGGCAGGGGTGTAGTGTCTGAATAATCATAACTCCCACACCATTAGCCACCTTGTCTGTCAAGCTCATAGCTCCATAAACAAAAGCACCACTTTGCTGTCAGGAGGACAAGAAAAGTATTATTAGAAACTAATAATAGTTAATAGTTCTCTGCGACCATTTTTACACTTTTGAAATGAGTCACTCTGAAGCATATGCCTTTTTCACTGCTGCTAACATTTGCATATCTTACTGGTTCAATTATGCGTTACTGTTGAAGCTGTTAGCGCTGAATATGCTTAATAAAACATTTGCTTGAAGCATTTTCAGTTCCCCAACACTGACTGATATCAGCACTTACTGTTTGGTCTCCTATGAGCTCAGCCGTCATGGCAAGTGACATCACCAGGATGGTAGCAGACCCCACGCCTAGCAAGACCGCTGTGCCATACACCTTTTCTCCCATGTGTGCGTCCAGCAGCACCCAACAGGAGAACGCCAGAATCAGCAACAGTCCCAAAAAATAGGTCATCTATCGATAAGGGACAATGAAACATTAATGTAAACAAAAGCCTTCTATCATATTGTATTAGTTTCCAATACTGTACATTAAAAATCTAGTGAACTGTTTTTTCAGAATCAGAATCAGAATCAGAAAGAGCTTTATTGCCAACAGGAAAAACCAACAAAAACAGTACAAACACTGGAGAGCCAAACACTGAGGCTGCCGTCTGCGGCGCCATCGCCATCGCATCTTTCTTTAGTTTTCAGATGTCCTTTAAATATTGGAATGTTGGATGGGGACCAGGGGGTCAGGGTCCCACCAGGTGGCCTTCAGAGGGCTTACAATGATTTAGAACAAGCTTTAAAGGGGTCATATATTACAAAACATTATACTCACTTCTTCTGTAGATGAGGCTGGATCATAAATGATTCGTGCAAACATAGACGCATTTAGGCAGATCGGGGGCACATTCCCTTCAGAAACAATCTAATCCACTGCGAGTTAAGCGGCTCAGATGTCAGGAGTAAATGACTGCTATGTTCATTCTAGAGCCTGACCGATATATCGTTTTGCCGATTTTATCGGCCGATATGAGCCTGTCGCCGATATATCGGTATCGGCGAATATGCCGC